TGGTTTTATTTGTGGTGTTTTCCAATGAAATTCCATAATATAGTATATTATAAAATCATAATATTCGTTTTCTGGTCGAAATAATTTTCATATATAAACAAAGAATAATCTTGAGTCTGAAATCAAGTTGTTTTAAAATTCATGCATAAAATTCTCATTGTTAAATTTGAGCACAAGATTTTGAAAATTTCCTTGTTTATACTTTTCAATAGTCATGCATGAAGATTAGTGGTAGTTATACAAATATGACCACCAATGATTTAGTCAAGTCAATAGATCTAAAAGGAAAATTATTCATGAAAAATTCAAAATTTCACTGCTATATTGATGAATAATATTGCTTTAAGAAACAAAATCCAAATTAAAATATTGAGGATTTGTCAAAGCTAATGGTTGTTATATATATATATATATATATTATAAATTTCAAATTAAGGCAATTTTGAAAATTTCCTATATGTGCCAAAAATTTTGACCATTGAATACCAATTTTGGAGGAGATTAGGGTTCATGGACCAAGGCTTTGTAAGGAACAATAACAACAAGAACTTAAAAAATATTTTCAAATAGGAAAGCGAGAGGATAGATATCATTGGGTTCCAAAAAAGGTTCAAAGAAATGAAAATCATGCTTTTCAAGAGTAATTATAATAAGTTGAACACATGATTTTAGGTGGAAAAGTTCTATATGTATTTTTTGGTGGGCAAGGGACCTTGGAAAGTTCAACATTTTTTTCTTATTTATTGGCCTTAGCTAGATCTAGCTACCACGAATCAATGTCATTATATTTGACAATTTATTTAAGGAGCTTTGTCCGACAACAATTCTAGAAAAATCTCCCTCTCTCATCTATAAGATTAAAGAAAAAATTTAATGACGGCTAGTATTATAACTTGAAAACATTTGAAAGGTTACTTGAGAAAAAAAAAATCAACAACTAATTACATAATTCCAACTGGAAGAATTGAATAGAAAAGAGTAGGTTGATATATACCAACACTTAGAAGGGAAGAGAGAGTGAAAATTCTAGCAGAGAATTCGAGTTTTATTTTTTTTTCTTGTTAAAAAAGAGAGAAAAAAAAAAAACACAAGTTGATTATCCTTAACCAATTCCTTGATGTATCATTATTATTATTTTTTTACATAATGATGTTAGTTCATATGAAACAATAAGATTCATAAAAATGAAAAAAATTTTAATACAAAGTAGATTTGAAACTTAAGAAAATTTGAGGGATAAAAAATTAGTATTCTTTAGTTATTTGTAGATGACTTTTCATCGTGTAATTTGACCTATATGAATCAACACTATTCTATCTATTACACAGTTCCAATTGCTCCACTACCAAATAATCATAAATAGTAAAAAAAAGATAATCATAAATGGTATGAAAACCATATTTTACAAAAAAATTTCAAATTTTAATATATTTGACTATAAAAAATAAAAACGCCTCATAATGTTGTTTTCTTATTCATTTCTCTTCTTCCCCACCAATAAAACCATTTATTTGTAAAAATATACATATTTCTTTTCAATTAGGGGGGAAGAAATTGAAGGGTGAGGAAATCCAAGCCATGTGAACGGGAATCTTAGACAAATGTGAAAATAGCGTTGACAATTTACAACTGATAGCTTATATACTCGTGTCTTATAAAATAATTTTTTTTTATATTTATATTATATTTTATATAAAAATTATGTATTAACTTATATTAATATAAAATATATTTTTAAAATTTTATTAAATTTGTATAATTTTTATTAGAAATTTAATTTGTATCAATTTTATATTTTTTTACATTATTTTTTACCGTGTTTTAAATTATATACTTTAATCAACATGATATGGGAAGAAGAACAAAGCCGCTGTTGTGATGATGTGCACGTGTGTTCATACTTATCATCATGTCATGTGGAAATAGTGCATCGTTTGCCATCATTACATTACCCACCAATTTTTTTTTAGTATATATTTGATTGACTCAATGCCCCCAATGGCGTTGCCCGTTGCCCAGCCAACAGCGCAAAACAATCATTCATCACATCCATGGGGACCACTCTCTCACCCATTCATCAAACTCGCTCATTCATCCATGTATCTATACGTAGATTTAACGATTTTTGTTTTTATATTATATAAAATATTAAAATTTATATATTTATATTATATTTTATATAAAAATTATATATTATAATTTATATTGATAATAAAAATATAAAATATATTTTTTAAAAATTTAAATTATATTATTTTTATATTATATTTATATCATATTATTATATAATACTTTAAATTATCTATTACACTTACAATAGAACCCTCTTCTCTCCGTCAATATTTAAATCAACAAGCACATATTGAAATAAGAGACAATAGCATGAATAAACATGAACAATTAACAAAATAAATAAAATAATTTATTTTTTAAATATAATAAGTTTTGGGTATATAAATGGAAGTAATAACCCCCAAACCTATTTACAGATAGGTTACCTCTCAAGGCTGTTAGCTTGCTTGACCGACTTAAGCCTAGCTTTAAGCATGGTTTTTTTTTTTTTTGGTCTCAAGCTCAGTTTAACTAGAGTTTTTATATTAAATATTTAATTTAACTTGCAAGTTTTTATTAATTATTATCAATTTCTCACTTTTGTGTTTAGTTGGTGCTTTGGTTACTTATTTTTTGTTATTTGTTTTTGCTTTTTAAAATATTGTTCTAAAAGCAGAAAAAGAAAGATAAAAAAAAAAGTAAAATCATAATTGATTTTAAAAAGGTGAGAAATTAAACTTTAAGATCAACTATAACATTAGTAGTTTATACATTGTTACCTAACAATGTGTATAATCCATTGAAAATATTATTTATTTTGTATGCAATCTGCTTTAAGAAATAAAAAAATAAACCAAATAGAGTATAAAAAGAATATTTAAATAGTCAAAAGAAGAGGCAGAAGTTGATAAGATTAGACAACCGGCCACTTACACTATAAAAATGTTGGGTTTTATTTTCCATTTGGTAAAGCAACAAAGAGAATGGTATCAAGTTTGAAATTGCAAAGCCAAAGAGACAGTGATATTAGGCAAACACACATTGCTACTAGAACCAATGATGCCACGTGTTAAAATGGCACTCTCCCATTTGGTAAACTTCCAAAGAGACCGACAAAAGTTTGATAGTTTGGCAACAAAACATAGAAGCTCAATGTCAATTAGATAATTAAATATAAAAGAATTAAGCTTTCTTAAACAAAATTTGACTAAATCAAAACAATAATGATCAAATTTACAAGTTACAGCAAAATATCTTGAAAAAACTTTTAAATATTTTTGCATACGCAAATCAAATGAATAAATAAATACTCGTTCAATTAAAATTTTATATTAATTTTATCTTGTATGTATTTGATTTAATTTTATATTAAATTTATATCAATTATATACTAATTACCAACTCATTAGTTTTTTCATTGATTTTTTTTTCGTTAAAAAAATAATTGTATTTTATATGTTGAGAATTATTTGATTGTAATTAAAGTTTTAGTATAATTTCATAAAAATATTAAAATATTAAATATATTTTTGTAATAAAAAATAAAGCTAGTTAAATGTTTTTTTTTTTTTTTTTAAGAATGAGAGCATAACTTCTTGCTAAATTTATTGTTTTAAATTATTTAATTTAAGAAATCTCACAAACTTTTAGTAAAGGATTTTAAAGTGAAAATTCTTCTCTCTAAAAGCATATCAATAGTTATCAACTTTCTAAAGTACATTGTTTCAAGTCAATTATGATTAGCATTAAAATTTAGATGAAGGTTTTTTAAATAAAATCTGTGAAATTATTTTTTAAAATTTGTTTAATATAAATTTTAATAAAAAATATAAATCGATAATTATAAAATTTAATATAAAAATAAATAATATATAAAAAATTTTATTAAAAATATCGTTAATAATTTAAATTTAATCTATATTTATTTAATAATAAAAATTTTATCAAAATTTTTTATAAATAATATTTATCTAAAAAATATATCAAAATATATTTATTTTTAAAATTTTATAAACTTGATTTATATAATAAAATCTTTCAATTTATCATTTTAATTTTTGATTTTAATTTTTACTTAATAATTGTTAATAAAAAATTTTATAAACTTCAGAACTCTATTTAAATCTTTCTTTATTATTAGTGGGCGTCAATTAATTAGAAATTTTTTATTTAATGCGTTGAGAATATCATGTGTTTGTAATAGAGCTGACAAATCTGATGGGAATTGCAAAATTTTGTTCACATTCGAATTTTATTTTTTATGGTAAAAAAAATTTAAAAATAAATAAATTATTTAATTTTTTAGATTAAAATAAAATGTGTCATATTTAATATTTTGATATAAATAATTGTAAGTTGTATATTTGATATAACTTTAATAAATGATTACTGACAAGAGTTAAATCTCATATCTTTTCATCGAAGAGAACAATTTTGATCAATTAAATAAATTACTTGTTGATAAATTTAATTTTATTTGATTAAAAAATTAACAACTTGAATTTATTTGATCCAAATTCTAAATAATTAACTTTAAATGATTTATATGAATTTAAAATTTAAATTGTAAAAATTTAAAATCAAATAAATTTAATGTCAAATTTGAATAGATAAACACAAAATAATATAAATTCAAAATAATCAGAAATAACCTAAATTTTATTCTATGGATGCAATCTAATCCAATGGGTTGGATTGTCAGCTCCGGTTCATAACTTATAGACATTTTTTAATATTTCCAATAAAATAATAATAGCAATCGCAATGCTTATAAACCAAAAAAAAAAAAATTGTATATAGCATTTTGACAGCAGCAGCAGCTGTATATTTTAATATTAATTAATGGAGCATTATAAAAAAGCAGCTGCAAAATTTTTTTTGCTTTTTATTATTCAAGTAAAACGTGCTTTTATTAATGGGGTCTTCCTCTTGCTTTAACCTGTCCCAGCATCAATACCTTCACCAACAACAGCAAAGGTCAAACAATTCTCAAATCTCAATAAATCCCATAACTCAACTCAAACCTCAACTCCGCCTTTCTCTCTCTCTTCAATGGCGGCCAACAACACCAACAAGAAGACTAGTAATCCGCCTCTTCTAACTGTGATTTAGTCCCTTTGACATTGTAGCCTACAAAAACTGCAGCTTTATCGGTCTTCTTTTCATTTATTCAAACAAAAACAATAACCCCCATTAAACCTCTCTCTCGTCTCTTTATATATTTTCTATTGGCTTCGTGTTCCATTTCCACTTTTTTAAGACCCATTTTTTTTTCTCTCTCTCAATCTTTCCCATTCCAAAGAAAAGCTCTCTGAAAGGTAGCAACTTGACATAAGAATCAACTTCAAGATCCAGTTTTTAACTTTGGGTTTTTGTTTTCTAGTTCAAAAGATTTTTTTTTTTTTGAGTCAAAATGGGTAGTAAATGGAGAAAAGCAAAGTTGGCTTTAGGCCTGAATCTCTGTGCTTATTTACCTAGAACTTTAGATGATGATGATTATCGTTCACTTCCTTCTGGTGAAAGATTATCTGATGCTGCTTTGTTACCTCCTTCAAACTGGGAAAATATGTCTGCTTCTAGGCCAATGACTCCTTTGCCTTCTTCTCATGGTTTAAGGTTGCCTAAAAGTTTGTCTAGAAGCTTGTCTAGAAGTGCAAGCAAATCATCCAAGGTTTGGTTTTCTCCTTTCTTAAAAGTTCTTAAATTTTGTAAAAAAAATTTCTTTCTATTTTGCCTTTGAGTTGTTTGAGTGTGCTTTGTCTTCCCTTATGATAAGTGAGGATTTATTGAAGCCATTAAAACTTTAGTATTTTTTTTTCCTTTGGATGGTTTCTAGTTGTGTGTTTGTATTTTTTTGGTTGTTGATAATGGAGGAAAAAAAAAACAGAGAGCGGAGGAAATTTCTTAAACCAGGTTGTGGTTTGAATGGGTTTTTGCATTTTTTTTTTTTTTGTGTTTGATTGTTTGTTATAAATTGTGGGGAGGTTGGATGAAGGAGATAAAAAATTTTGAATGTTGCTTTTATTTGTGTATTTTGATTTTGTTAGCTTTGTGTGTTTGAGGGCTTTTGGTCGTTTTGGGCCGTGTCCTATTTGTTGTTGGGAGATTGAGTGGGAAAAGGAGGGAAATGAAGTTTTCGGATTGGGGGTATTAGGTTTTCTATTGTTTTTCTACTAATAATTTATAAATTTGAGGCGGTACAGTTGTAGTTTTTGTTTGGTTCCTGAGAAAATAACATAGGTTGGAAAGAAAAGGTTGTGGTTTTTGGTAATTGGAATCGTGTTTATTGAGAAAATCGAAAGTTAAAGGCAGCTAGCTAAGTTAACATGAATATTATATATCTGTCATTGTTATTAGTATTATTATATTATTATTTGCTGAGCTTGTGATTTTAATTATTGAGGCTGATGATGCTGATATTTTCCGCTTGTGGTTTGTTAGTTATTAAGAAAGAAAAAGGAAAAAGAATAATTTTTTCTGTTCCTTATTTGAATAATGAAGATCTCTACTTGGTTATGCTTTATTACCTAAACGATTGCTGGATTGGATTGGAGACTTTCTGTTTATCGGTTGCCAGAAGAAAATCTATCCGTTTATTTTCCAACACCAATTATATTTAGAGGATAGTTTGTTTATTTTCCCTTTGAAAGCGGTAGAGGTGAAGCCTCTGAAATTTCTCAATGTTCTCTTCATACTGTTTTTATTTTGAATGCCTGTTCCGTCAATTATGACCTTGTCTTTGTTTTTATCCACTGCTGATGCAATTGCATAAACTTTATTAATCCTTTCTTGTATGGTTGGCGCAATTGAAAACATATTTTCTTGTTTATCCAGCTATAACATCTTTTCCCTTTTATGTGTGTAGGAAAATGCCTAATTCAATAATTAAGGTTGTGCTGTGGTCTAATCATTCCCGTCTTATTTTAACGTTTATTGATGATTAAATGGGTTTATTGACCTAAGTAGTTGAGCTTTAGATTTTTTCGTGGTTAATGCACAAATCCCTTTCGGGACCACTTTTAATTGCCTTACTAGTAAAGGATGACTAACAAGATTAACCTTTGCCTTTTATCCTTCCCTTGTAAGGAAGAAAAAAGCAGCCTTGCTTGATGGACTCATCTGTTGACTGTTAAAATTGCAACCTTTCTAGCAGTTAATTTCATCAAAGAAGTAAAGAAAAAGAATGGAAAAGAAATACCTAAAAGCATAATATGAATTTTTTTTTTTTTTTATGGATGGGGCTTTCAATGTTTGTCCCCAGCTCTTCTAAAGATCTGGTTCATCTGTATAGGTGAATAGTTGCTTGATAATTTCTCAAAAGTTACTTCTTTGATTCTCAGCTTTATTTGCATGATATGCCCTTTATTTGTTGGATACCTAACATTGACTTCTTTTTTAGATTACTAGGCTGATTAGTTACTCCTCGATTTTTTGTCACCCTTTTGTGGCGATGCTACTTTTAGGTCTGGCCCAAAGTAAAATTCATTCACACCTAAACCTTTATATTCCCAACAATTTTCGTTATTTCTTTTTGGCTAGAAAAAAAATGGTGATGATTTCTCTTTCACTATTTCTTATTGAAAACGAAAAAAAAAAGGGCATACCTAATTCCTTCCATTGCTATCCTAGTATTTGTACAGTAGAACAGCAATAGGTGGTGTTGCTGCGTATAATTATCATTAGCACCCTGTATTGTGCCTTTTGGGTTTTTCATTCATGGATGATTAAAAATACAACACAGCAACTGTTGAAATGTGTTAGGTTTATATATATATTTTCTTTGCCTTTTCTTTTTTTTTTTTCTGATTGGTTTCCAGAGATTTTCATTTAAAAAAAAAATCCATTTTAGCATATGCTAATTTTGTTTGTTATATTTGTTTCAGCAAACATGTTCAATATGTTTGACCAAGATGAAACAAGGAGATGGTCATGCTATTTTCACTGCAGAGTGCTCACATTCTTTCCACTTCCATTGCATTGCTTCAAACGTAAAGCATGGTAATCAAATTTGTCCAGTTTGTAGAGCAAAATGGAAAGAAATCCCCATGCAGAGCCCTAGTTTGGATCCTCCCCCTGTCAGGGCAGCAATCAGCCCTGTAGGTTTGCCACAAAGTGATGATTTGATGACTGTAGTCCGCCGGTTGCCTCCACCTCGTAGAGATTTACGTCGGCGACATGTTGTACCATTATTTCAGGCTCCTGAACCAGGTGTTTTCAATGATGATGAATTGTTGGATCACCTACCTGTGAGTGATGAGAGTAGGATTTCCTCAGATAACTCGTCTCTTAGAACAATAGAGATCAAAACATACCCAGAGGTTTCAGCTGCACCAAGGTACAGTTCTTATGATAATTTCACGATTCTTGTTCATCTTAAAGCTGCTGCCACCGTTGCAGTTCAAAATCCCAGCAGAAATCATGCTAGCTTGCCACAATTTTCTCAAAATCCCCGTGCTCCTGTTGACCTAGTCACAGTGCTTGATATCAGTGGTAGCATGGCTGGCACCAAGCTTGCACTACTAAAACGGGCAATGGGGTTTGTAATACAAAACCTTGGCTGCAATGATAGACTTTCAGTCATTGCCTTCTCTTCAACAGCCCGCCGCCTCTTTCCCCTTCGTCGAATGTCTGACGTAGGGCGGCAGCAGGCACTTCAAGCTGTTAACTCTCTGGTTGCAAATGGTGGTACCAACATAGCTGAAGGCCTGAGGAAAGGTGCTAAGGTAATGGAAGACAGGAGGGAAAAGAATCCAGTTGCCAGCATAATACTTTTGTCGGATGGGCAGGATACTTATACTGTCAATGGTGCTGCTGCAAACAAGTCTCAACCAAATTACCAGTTGCTTGTCCCTCTGTCTATGCACGGGGGTGACAACCCAGGATTCCAGATTCCAGTGCATGCTTTTGGTTTTGGTGCAGATCATGATGCATCATCAATGCATTCAATTTCAGAGATCTCTGGGGGCACATTTTCTTTTATTGAAACAGAAGCTGTAATCCAGGATGCATTTGCACAATGCATTGGTGGCCTTTTAAGTGTTGTAGCTCAAGAGCTGCAAGTGGGTGTTGAGTGCATGAATCCAAGTCTCTGCCTTGGCCCACTTAAAGCAGGCAGTTATCCAAGCCGTATGACAGCTGATGGAAAAACTGGATTTATTGAGGTTGGAGATCTCTATGCTGATGAAGAGAGGGATTTCTTGGTATCAGTTAAAGTACCATCAGAGTCCTCTGAACGTGAAACATCGTTGCTAAAGGTGAAATGTGTTTATAGGGATCCCTTGACTAATGAAATGACAACTTTGGAGAGTGATGTTGTTAGGATTCAAAGACCTGAAGTGGCTGGGCAGGAAGTAGTGTCAATTGAAGTAGACAGGCAACGCAACAGGTTCCAAGCAGCAGAAGCAATGGCAGAGGCAAGAACCACGGCTGAGCAGGGAGATCTAGCAGGTGCTGTTTCAATCCTTGAAAATTGTAGAAGGCTGTTGTCTGAGACTGTTTCAGCCAAATCTCATGACCGACTTTGTGTTGCATTGGATGCTGAGCTCAAGGAAATGCAAGAGAGGATGGCAAGCAGACATGTGTATGAGGCATCCGGGAGAGCATATATCCTCTCAGGACTGAGCTCACACTCGTGGCAAAGAGCGACTGCAAGAGGTGACTCCACTGATGGTTCAAGTCTGATTCAGGCATATCAAACTCCATCAATGGTTGAGATGCTTACTCGATCTCAGGCAATGTTACTGGGTAGTCCATCAACTCAAAGGCTTGTCCAACCACCATGGTCACTTGGATCACAACCGAAGCCAAGGTAATATTTTGAAAGTAATATGGCAACTATCATCAAATAGTTTTTCTGGAGCTTTTTCCCTATATTCTGCAAAATTTTGTTTGGGGAGGTGATAAAATGGAGGGTCTTACATGTGAAAATGAATAAGAAATTGGGAAAAAGGCAGAAGAAAATATTTTGGGAGTAGAAAAGAGAAGCAAGAGTAGGTAGGGTTTACACCATTTTGTATTTTTGTTTGCGTTGTTGGGGGGTGTACATAAAGAGAAATGGCTTTTTCTCTCTGGGGTATATGTTTGTAATTGTTGAAATGATTGTGGTGAGCTCTTCACCTAATCTATAATTATCTGCAGCAATTCTTTTTACAAAGTCTTCTGTTACCATCTCCTTTGCTAATTTCTTTCTCTCTCTCTCCGGCAACAACACGTATATTTATGATCTAGTGCATGAATCTAAGGTAACAGGAAGTTGATTCTGCCCCTGAACTGCAGTTTAGCAGACAAGATTTGTGCAAATGATGTATTCACCAAAGAGTGCCAGAATCGAACATGATCTAATGCTGTCTACTCATCAGTCTTGCATGGTCGAAAAACAACTTTATTTTCTTTGCTAAATGAAGGCCCTATCAGTATATTTGTTGCTTGTTTGTAGTTGAAATTTGAAAACTGCACCTAGATAAGAGAATAGATTTGAAATATATAATCAACGCCCTAAAGTGTCTGCAAATTGAGGTTCATGTCATCCCAGCCAGCACCAACCCGTTTTCTCTTTTGGCACGGTTTTGTGTAAGGTTGCTATAAAGAAATAATTGAGTTTAAATCACCCTAAATGGCTAAACCCATTGTTAAATGCTCTCAACGAGAAGTTTGTATACTGAAAAAGCAAAAATTCACAAGAAAATCTCACATTTGATTACTCAGATCAGTACATATATTGGTTGAAAATAAAAAAAACATAACCAGGAAAAGCTGAAGACCACCCTACTAATAAGCCCCACCCCCCCCCAAAAAAAAAAAGGCTCCAGCATGCTTTCCTGATGGTTATTGAAATGAAAACCAATCATAAATGATAGGGAAACACACTAATAGCAAGGTGTCGAAAAAGAACAACTTAAGCTAAACAATTCTTCCTGACCAAAAAACCAAACCTCAAATCTGTGATAAGCAGCACCCAAATCATTTTACCTCCCAAACTTCATAAAAAGATGGAACCACCAGGCACCGCCTGATGCTACACTGGCTCCACAAGATCCAACAGCTCCAGGACTTTATGGGCCCTTGCGGTCATGGGTAATAGTATGCTCATTGCTATCTTCCATTTTAACAACGGTTTCAAATCAGAAAAACTAATTGTGATTTGTGTCTTTCACTTCCAGCGTCTGGTTTCAATGTTGCTATGGTCTATTCACAAGCTGTTATCCTGTTCTCTTCTTACAAGCACTCCCTCCTACCCTGTGACATCTTTGGTTACACATGCATGCATGGATCCTAAACTAATGCATCGTGCAATGACTTTGGGAAATTTAGATTAACATAGTGCACTCTTTTAGTTTTCTGTTCTCGCTATTATGTACAATAAGCCTCTCTCTCTGAATAATGTATGCAACAGGCTTTGATAATTTAATAAGTTCTCAAAAAGAATACTAAATCATCGGCTACAATATCAATCTAAACTATAAAAACTGAGCAACATGAGTGACAGATTCCAACCAGATAACACCAAGTATTTTTCAAGATGTATCTACCAAAATACTAATGTTTATTGCAACTACCAAAAAAAAAACCTTTTGGATAGAGAGCCCAACGCTAGTGTGACTTGCCTTCATTTGGCCTAGGAATTCTTTTGTAGTCATAGTTGTTTATGTCAACCTTCTCTTGCAAAGCCTACAAAACAGAAGAAAAGGCTAGTAAGTTACAAATTGTCTTTTTTTTTTTTTTTGGCCAATAAGTTACAAATTGTCATGAGCTTGAGGTTGCATATAAAACCACTATACCTTTAAGTCTTCCTCCAACGAAATCTTTTTTGGCTTATATGCATCGATGGGTCCTGTTCTTGATAATGCTTTCCTGGTCTCAATAATTTCCCAGTCTTGATCATCTTTCACCTTTGCAATATCCTTGCTGAACTACAAAGTACTATTATGTTTTAGAAGAACATGGAAAAGAGCAGCAGGAAGAGGAAAATCAGTAGCAAAAAGGTGATGATAACTATTACCATAGACTAGAGGTGTTGCAACAGTAATTGAGACTGATATTGCTATTACAAAATAAAAATCCAAACAATGATCAGAAATTCTCTAGTGAAGCATCAACGGAGGATACATACAAAGGTTCTTCAAGTAAAGTCTAGATATACAGAACTTAAGCCATAATAAGTACTCTTCCTTCAAGCAATAAGGCTCTGGAAATATTAAGGCTTCAATATTGTTATCTACCTATAACTAGTGAAACTTTTAGATCAGATCAACGATATAAAATTCTAAAGCAAGGTAAACAACTTATTCCAGAACAAGGTTTCATTCTTGTAATACTACAGGTCCCTCTCCAATCATTAGGAACGGACCATGAACAGAACTAAGCCACTTATCTACAACATAACACAGTTTGTCCCTCAAAGTTAACATGACATTTGCTGTTCTCTACCCAGCAGATATGTTCACTCCCAGATGAAACAAAAGTCTCATCAGCTAAAGTGGTTCCAAAAATCTATTTGCAAATTAGGCAATTAATGGAGATCCAAGTGCCAGAACTAACCTGCCTTGCAAGAGATGACCGAGGCCGACTGCCCCAAACACAGTCAATGAAATCATTGGAAGCCCATATCTGATAAATGGATACTTCCTACCCCACCTTTTGAAGGATGAAGCTGAACTCTGAACATTAGCAGTTTTAGCAGCCAGATTACTAGTTTTCTGAGGCTGACTCATATTTCCCTCAATGGATGCCATTGTCGCAAATCATGAAACAACCTGTACAAGAGTGTCAGTTTCAAGAGAAGTTCATGCTATTTTGACTTGTCAATCCAGTTTAGATAGCCGAAAGGGACTAATTATATAGTTAGGTCTTTATTAAAGATGTAATATTCATTGCAAAATTTAAACTTTTTTCCTTGTAATTTGTATAGATAAGTGACTATTCTTGTTTTGATCACGTAGATAAGTGACTATTCAAGGAAAACATAGAAAATCTATCTAAATCCTAGGCACCAAGCACCCTTTAACATTTACATCTAACACAATATACCAAGCTTTTCCAAATTCAACTCTACTTCCAATGCAACCATATCGGATTAAGTTAACCAAGAATCAAAAAACCTCATGAGTTGAAACAAACTCCAACTGAAACATACACGAAAAGATACAGACTTCAGTTCAGCTTATTGTTTTCTCAACAAACAATATAAAAACTAATTTAAAAGTTTGGATTTGAATCATAAGAATCACTTCAAATGTGACATCCTTTACCCATTAGGCTAAAACAAAAGCAAATTTCGAGTTAAAAACCATCCACAAGATTTCACCAATATTCTCTATAACATAAACCATCCACAAGATTTCACCAATAATCTCTATAACATATTTTTACTTCTTATTTTGTAATAACAACCCAAATAATGGAAAAAAAAAACAATTTCTTTTGTTCAACTAATCTCAAATTGCCCCTTTTCACATAGTAAATAAAAATTTACAACTTTTTGCTAAGTTGATATTTCTTATTCCCACGTTTCTCAACTCATCAACAAATTAAAAAACCAAATCGAATACTAAAAATTCCAATTTTTTAGAAAAAATAGAAAACAAACAAAATTTGAATATAACCTTTTCACATAATAAATCAATACACTAACACATTTTTAAAAAAGAAAAACAAATTGATTACTGAAAATTGCATTTTCAAGGGGAAAAAGATAAAATTTGTACATAGCAATATAAATAGAGATACCAGAAAAAAAAGGTATAGGATATGATTAGATACCTTCTTCTTTAGGTGGGTATTTGGAATCTGCTAGGATTTTCTTGAGTAAAGTTTTGATTTCAAAAAACAGTTTAAAAGAAAAATCAAAGCTTGAAAGAGTTTCATTCGGGAGAGAAACGAAGAACAAGAAGAAGATTGAGACGCCGCCAGAAAGTCCCGTCCTTTTTTTGGTCACAAGCCCATTTTAAAATTAAAAGTCTAAGCCCAAAATCTAAACCACATTAACGACAGTCCTGTCCTTTTTATTAGTTAAGTGCCCATTTTAAAATTAAAAGTCTAAGCCCAAAATCCAAAACCAGATTAACGACGTCGGTCCATTCAGTTCGTTTAGTTGAGAAATTTCTTTCTGATTTTCCCAATCATTTCCCCACTTTTTTTATTGGGTTTAAGCTTATTTCTCTTTCTGTTATTAGTTTCTTGCAATCAAAACCCAAATGGATTTTTAACTCCAAAAAAAGAAAAAACCAAATGGATCGTGAAACTTGCTTTCGTTTAGGATTTGAAAAAGTGGGTTTGTTTTAAATTGTTCAAACGAGTCAACTTTTGATTTGGGTAATGAAAATGGAGTAATTTAAATGGCCCAGATTGTTTCAAAGAAGAAAATTTAACAATTTTGATTGATTACAATTTTTGCCGTGTGCAATTCCTTATATAAACCCCATAAAACAAGTGCATCTAGAACTAGGAATTGTTAAATCCAATTTGGATACACCTCCACATCTAATTTTGATTACCATAGATCAATTTGAACTCTCACAGTTCTGAAGGAATTACAGAGTGCTTGAACAAAGGACTACAAGCCGTATAAGAATTTTGAGCTCCATGGAGTTTCAAATATCTGCTTTAATGGTTAAAAATAACTGAGAAGAAGCTATCATGATCTAAAAATGTCTAAACAAAATTACAGCAACTATGAACTAACAAATCATGACTAGCTAGTATCCAGAAGGAAAGAGATGAAACATTAAACAAAAGGGCTTGCCCATTTCAGTTTTCTTTCAAAACTTGTAATCCAGACTCACCATTGTTGTGATTTTCTCTTCCATTTGTGAATGAAGCTGCTACTGATGTTTTGGAATCACAAGGCTTTGATTTTTTTGAATCAGAAGATTTTGCTGTTTTTGGATCAAAGGACTGATTAGACTTTGACCTAAAACCAAATTTTTTCAAGAAAATGTTCCAACCACCCTTTGTTTTCACCATCTTTTCAAGTTCTTCTTTCATGCTCAAACACTCTTTCTCAAGCTCGGAAACCCGCTTCATTATTTCATCTACTTCCACAAAGCGGTCTTCAGTAATTCCAACATGTGCAGACCCATTATTTCTGGAAATTCCAAGATTCTCACTTGGATTTTGTGAGTTTTCAAGGTTGTCAGAGACAAAGAAACAACCAGCAATGGAGGTGCGGAGACGGAGTTGTTCAAAGAATAGAACTTGGACAATGACTCGAAGTGGTAGCCTCTCATTCTGGGTTGCATGAGTTCTGGCTTCCAATGAGAGTTTCTGGCAGTTCATGAGGCAGCATATTTGTTCCTTCTCAGAGTCTGTCAGCCAGGGATGTGCCTGAAGTTGAGGAACACAGTATTATTTTGCAGGGAGAGTGGAAGGACTACTAGCCTAACATGCACTTTGAAACATCTTCTGAGAAAAATGGGAAAAGAAACTACTTTTAATGGAAACTAAAACATCTGTACCAGTCTTTTATCTTGAAAATGAGATGAACTGTAATGGCAATATCAAGATTATAAATAGTTGATTCTTTCATGGACTATTTAATAAACAAAACCATCTGAGATAAGATGACAAATATTCTATGCCATTACCTCCATTTCTTCTCTAAAACATCAATAAAAAGGTCTTTAAAATTCAAAGAATAAAGGACTGGAGAAATATGTCAAGAAAATTCACAATTGGGGGCATTAAAGGTATCTTTCCTTGATGCCATCCCCAACTGCAAACCATACTGACAGCAGTTCTCCCAATCATTGGTATGAATGCATAATTATGGTCCAAATGAATGATTGATTTTGGCGATGAATGAAGTACCAAGAAGAATCTTACCTTAAGGTATATGTCAATTGCACGGTAAATTCCATCATCTAATGGTCTGGCATAGTCAGGAATAGCAGCAGCAAGTGACTGAAATTTTGACAACTTCAGGTTAACATCAGGTGCCACTTCAGCCAGATATCCATCCACCAGGTTAGCTACCATTGTCATTGGGGTCAATGGATGGGAACCTCCCATCAGCTGCCCCTCACCAACCATATAATTAGAACTACAGTCAAGTGCCTCATGATCTACCCGAATAAAGTGATCAAGAATCCGCTGAAAGCAGTCAATGTCATAAAGGGTTTCCAAGGAGTATCCCACATTTGGTATCAGAAGATCTGCCAAAGCAGCTTGATCTAACTGAGCCCCAATCTGTTTCTCTAACTTCTCTCGACATGATGGCATAGCATGCAAAATCATCGATGTTCGTAGAAGCCTCAACAAAAAATTTGTTGGGGTGGCACCCTTTTGATTCGGTATTAATGCCACTATTTCTTCAAGGAGATTTCTTTGATCTGCATGGGATAGGATAGACACAGGAGATCCAGGGCCAGCATGGTTCCCGCCCTGGAAGCTCAACTGCCTCCCCAACAAAGGAAGATGCCTCTTTGCATAGTGAACAAGAGAACCAGCAATCCTCTCTGGCTCTATGCCACTTGATTCAATGGCTAGAATCAACCTTTTATACAGAGATAATCTAAGGAAAGACACATCCTCATACCACCAATCCTCACTCACTGCTCGTGGTTTGGCTGCTGCACATAGTCCATTCCATAAGACGTGAGTGCCTTCTGCACTTTGTGCATTACCACTTCCTGATATAGGCCAACTGAAAAAACTCAGATCAGCACAAGCTTTCATTGCCAAGGAATTGATGCATCGTGAAATAATATGAAGCTCTTCTGCATATGGTAGAACTTCTTCGCAAGTTTCGAGAGCAGTGATTGTGTCTGTCCACTTACCAAAGATTTCATTCAGGAAATTTTCTGTTTGTGTTATGAGATTTCCTTCCCCATGATCTTCACTCATTTGAAGAAACTCTGCAGCACACCTAAGACTGACTATATTTAGTGCAGTGAGTTCTAATCTGATGCCATAGCAGAATTTGGCTACAAGCAAAAATGCTTTGGCTCCACCAGGTATGTCATGAAATTGCATAACACACTTTTTCTCATCCTCACCAGAATAGTCCTTAATAATATTCTCAATTAGTCTGCTTCTTGACAGCAATGGAAACTGATAAACATGACAAAAAGGAGAAAAGGTAAAATACAATCTGATTAGCAAAATAATAAGCATAAATCTTTCTCCTTTACTGAACAATGCCTAAATAAAATAACAAGAAGCAACTAAGAAGGCTGAGCGTAAGGGACTCCATATATCTTCAATGAAAGTAGGAAATATTCTTGTACACAATATGAACTTACTAATCATCTACAAACTGGTTTCATTCACCAATCCTACCAGACAGTATCCCACAAAGTAATCGATAAGAAACTATAAACTGAACTTGCACTCAATATTTTGATTAAGTAATAAGATAAATTACCCAACTTAGATATACGAGTATGAACAATTTTTTTTATCAATTAAAGTTTTATTTCAAAACGAGTCCAATATCTATTAGCTTATCTATTAGTTCAAAAAGAAAAGTAGTTGTTTCTGTGATGAGAAACAGCCACGTGTACCCCAAATAAAATCTCCAACAATCTTATGTACATTTTGGAAGGACCTGAGCTGAAGAACATTTTAAAAGCAACATGCAACTTAAGCCCTCTGATTCCCCATACTGTGGAGATGTACATGTAACAAATGGATAACAAAGTCTGAGTAACATAACACAGAGCCAAGGATTGACCGAGTTAAAAGGACCTTGTGGAGATGGAATGACATTTCTCCTACTTCAACAATGACATCACTTGGAAGACCAGTTGAACACAACCTGGAAGAAGGAAAAGGAGATTATATAGTAATATGACATGTGAAAAAGGAAAATTGAAGGTCGAAATACTGAAGAAATAAGCTGCCACTTAAATGAAGGAACTAATGCCAGCAACAAGAAAAATTCAGAGCTTAGAAGAAGTCACACAAGAAACATACAGGTAAACCAGCATCCAAGATAGTGAAGATTCAGTTAAAACACATTTTTTTCAAAAATTGTAATGATCTTTATAGATGACTATATTCTATCTTCACTTATTTTCTATAAAGAACTATATCAAATAAATCCATTAATTCCATTTTTCTCCTTCAAATGTTTTTATCTTCCCATTTTGATGCCTTCTAGAGGGAAACCAAAATTTCCCTCAGATTAATGAAACCATGTATTTGAAAACCAAATACAGTGTTCAAATATAAAACTAGTAGTCAAGTTATGTGCCTATTTTTAACTAAAGCTATCAGGGAACAACTTTAAGTCTTTAACCACATAGCAAGTAGGATATGAGACAGTTTGACAAACATCATCAATTATCAGGCAAAATTTGTCAAGTAATCAATGCTTATCCCAAGTGACCATCCCCCCTCCACACCCACCCTTTTCAAACCAAAGAAAACAAGTAGCAAATTGGGTCTCAGTGCAGATAACATGAAAAGCTGAAAGAAACATAAATTAAACTAAACTCAAACTAAATTAATCCATAAACCCAATCTAGTTGCTGTCATTTGCATGAATTTTTTGTTGTTCTCCATTACATTTACATCAGTAGTTCATAACGGGATTCTCACCAATCACACATGGTAGTAAGTCTATGGTCAATGAATCAACTTCAAGAATCATTGCCATCGTTTACTAAGCTTTTTGGGCAGACCTTGAAAATACTTCTTGCTTTTAGAGCTTAGGTGACCTAATTAATGGAATGAGTTTCGTTTCAATACATGGTAGGTGGCTTCAATACCAAAAATTTCGCACTCTAAAGTTCACTCTTCAAAGATAAAAATAATTTTCTGACCGCAGGCTTCAATACCAAAAATAATCTCAATACATATAAACATTCATGAACCCCTAATTTTACATGTATAATTTACAACCTAGAAAAAGATAAATTCCAACCCTCATTATTTTACTCTTTTTTTCATTAACAGCCAAACCAATTTATCCATTTAAGAATATTCCAATCTCATTTTTTTTTTGTTTTTCCATTGGGACGCCTAAGAGTCAAAACTCAAAATTCTGACTTAAAAATTTTTTCGGTTAACAAAATTGGGTTTAACAAAATAAGAATTATGGAACGATGAAAGAAAGTTACGTGCATGCAAGAAACAAGATATCGTCGTAAACCCATATTCTAAATTCATGATTATTTTAACATATTTAGATCCCAACTGAAACAATAAATTAAGGAAGAAGGAAACAACAAAAAGAAAAGAAATGAAAAGAAACCAGGTTTGGCCATCACGGTGAAAGGTTTCAGATTTAGATCCCAGCCTCATGATCATGCAGGCCATGTTTTTCACTTGAAAACCAAACGTTTCCTTTGTCACCATAAAAAAAGAAACACAAAGAAAGAGAAAGAAATAAACAAACAGTTACTCTCAACGTTACGCTAAAGAATAAACTCTAATGGGAAAATAATCGATGACATTCATGAAAACATAATGAGTAAAATACCATGGGATTTTTTTTTTATTGTGTCAAAAAGCAAAGTGGAAACAAGCATGGGAAATGGGGAGAGTCCCGAGTCTAAGGGAGATGAATATCCTTGCTGTTACAACTTACAAGAATTCCTGTTTTTTTTTTTAAAAAAAAACTGCATTTTTGTTACTATTTAATTAAAATTTTTACGTTTGTTTTAGGTTTTTTTTTTACGTTTAATAGTCCAGTAGGTTACTGTTCTTAGCTGACTTGTCACTTGTGCTTAGATCTTGTTGGTTTTTTTTTTTTTTGTTTTTTACCCAGCATGAAGTCTTTATAGGGCACAAAATAAACAAAAAAAAAAGGCCTTTTTGGGAAAAAAAAAAGCTTCAATGTGTTTTTTATTCTCTTTTTCTAATAAATAATTTTCTTGTTTGCTTTTAAAAATCATAAAAATTAACAATTTAGGCTCTCTTTAATTGCTTTTTTTTAATAAAAATCTGAGGTTTACAATTTTAAATAACAGTATAATACTAACATAAAAAAATGTAAGCATTTGGCTTAAAAATTGGGTTTGGGTTTTTTTTTAATATAAAAAGTAACATAAGAAAAATATATGTTAGTATGTACATTATGGATATATATTGTCAAGTTCTAATAAAGTCCAATAGAGTTAAGCCGACCAACAATTTTTTTTTATTTTGTTGGATCCTCCCGGACATTGGCCAAAGCCGAAGCCAGTGTTTTACTCTAGGAGTGATCATAATATGATTTTAATAGAATTAATTTAATTAAATTAATTTTGATCAATTAATGAAAATAATTTTAAAAAAATTTAAGTTTTTATTAATTCGATTTGAAAATTAAATTAAACAAAAATTTAACCAAAATATAATATAATCCAAATATAAAATAAAAAATATATAAAATGAATAATTTAAGTTCATAAGTTATTAGAGTTTTTAACATAATATTTTAGTATTTGAATATTTTACTGAATAATTTTATGTAATTTGTTTAAAATATGAGAAATTGAGAATTTAAAATATAATTTAACTTAAATATATTTATTATTTGATTAATCAAAAAAATTAATTGAACCTGCTGAATTAAATTCGATAAGTTAATTTTTGAATTTATAAATTTAATTTAATTAACGAAAATAAAATAATGTAATTCGATTAATTCAATTTTAAATAATTTGATTTAAAATTAAATGAACCGACCGAATAAACACCCTCATTTCACTCTATAAGTCAACCCACCAAGGTTTACGAGCTTGGCCTACTAGTTATTTTTTTTTGAGCTTGAAGTAAAGGCTATAGTTGGAAATATAGTTTTGTTGTATAAATAAGAAAAATAATTTGATATATTAATAGTAATATTTTTTAATTTTATTAGTGGAGTTAAGAAAATAATATATATTTTTAAATTAATTTTTTATTTTTTAAATATATATTAAAAAAACATGTATCACAATTTTAATTCGAAATTAAAAGATTTCACTGTCAATGTATTTAATAATTTTTTTTATAAATAATACATGTATCAATAGAATTTTAAATATATAATATTTAAAATAAGAGAATTTTAAATATATAATATATATGAATAAGAGAAATTGTTTGATACATTAATAGTAATATTTTTTTTAATTTTATAAGTGGAGTTAAGATAGTAACACTTATGTTATTTTTTAAAATTAATTTTTTTTATTTTTAAATATACATTAAAAGACATGTGTCACAATCTTAATCCTACTTATGGAGTTAAAAAATTTCATTATCAATATATTTAATAATTTATTTATACATAATACACATATCAATGGAATTTTAAATATATAATATAAAAAATTATTTTTAATATATAATTAATTTAAAATTCATGTGATACACAAGAATAAATTTATACATTGTAACCCAATTTTCTAAATTGAAGTTTAATAAATTAATAATATTTTATACCTATTAGAGTGCTTAAAAGAAAAAAAAAATTCTTTCTTATGCCAAAATATATTTTTGAGTGATTAGCTTTTTATATCATTTTTATTTTATTTTATTATTGATTAAATTAATTACGAATAAGATAAAATATTAAGTAGTTAACAGGGAATAAATGAAACTATTTTAATTTAACTAATTATTTTTAAGTAATAAAAATATTTCAGATAAATAAAATACATTTATTGAAGATATATGATAACTTTTTTAAATTTGTATAAAAAATATAGACTATTCACGTAAGATTATTTTAATTTTTACTAAAAATTTAAATTTTATATATTTATGTAAGATATAAGATATAATCTTATTACTTTAACAGTAACAATATAAAATCACTTATGAAAAACAATATAAAATCATATATAAATCTTAAATACTTTTTAAAATTCAAATTTGATGATGCTAAAAGACAAATGAAAATTCAAGAAAAAAAATTCACACAACATTAAATTAAAATATTCAATCAAAGAATTAGATATACCAGAAAAAATGCATATACGGGTATATAAAATATAAAAAATATTTTGATAGAATTTTTAAATTCAACAACGAAGTTTAATTATTTTAAAAATACATTTTAATTGTAATTAATAAATTAATAAATAAACTTTTATTAACGAGTGTCCTGAAAACGTTCTTTAAAATTAGATAAAGTATTATTTATATCAAATATAATAATTAATAATTAATTTGATGAATTTTGATATATCAAAAATTATAATTTATCTTGTATTGTAATTGTTGTTAGCAAAACCCTTAATAAATTAACATAATTATTGTATTAAATAAATGCGGTTGTTTGCAAATTTTTAAAAAATTTAGAATAAAAAGTTCACATGTGCAGCGCGTGTGTTATCTTCACAAAAGGCACATGTGACATGCCATTGTCCTAAGAACTATTTGCTTCTGAAGATTCACCTTTGCTTACTTTTGTCTTAGTAATAAAAATTAGGGTAACTTTTATCTAAGTCCTTTATATTTAACTAAAATTCAACTTAAATTTAGCAGTTTAAAAACTTAACATCCCACTCCAAAATTATCAATTTGATCCAATAAATTGGTCCTGTCATTAACTCAAAGTTAAAAAATCTGTTAATAAGGTGTTATAGAGATCATTATGCCTTTGAAGAAAAAGAACTTGAAATACTCAATTTGAAAAAGGAAGATATGATATTTTTTATTAAAAAAAAAAAATTATGAATTTTTATTTTTTTAAAACGGAAAGTTCAAGATAAAATTTTTTTAGTTTATTTTCTAAAAAAATTAAAAAACTTTTCTTTCTGTTATTTTAAATGATTTTTTATGATCTTGTTAAATTTAATAATTTTTTTTGTGTTTTCCTAAATTTTATATTTTTAATTTTTTTTAAAAGCTGCATTATAAAAAAATTCAAAATTAAATTTTTTTAAAAGATAAAAATTTTGTATTGTCAAAATAAAATAAAAAGTTAATTATTTTCCTTTTTAAAAATGCTACTTTCTTTCATTTTATTTCTTTTCTTGAAAAAAATAAAAATAAAAAAATCCATTAGTTCCTTTTTTGAAACCTTCATTGAGAAAAAATCTCCTTAAATCGATTCTCATTTTCTTTTTCTTTAGATTTTATGATGAAGTTTTTGTTGAGTTTGAATTATTTTTTGTTTTTAAATTTTTAACTTCATATTTGATCAAATTTGTAATTATTCAAATTTGGTTTAGGATGTTAACTATTTTAAAGTAGAATGTTCAATTTGAAATTAATGGACTTGACTTTTTGTTAAATCTGAAGGAGTTAGATGCAATTTAACTTAAAAATTATTTTGATTCCTTCCTTCATAGTCTCTCTCGAAAACCAACAGCCAAAGAATTTCCGGAGATTAAAGGGGGAGAGAGTCGGAGAAGTGAGGAGGCAGAGAGACACCAAGTCTCCTAGAAATGCGGAGCCTATCGTTGGGTACTTCAGTTACAGTTTCTCCCACAACTACAACAACTTCCTCAAAACCCTCTCTTTCTCCTCTCGTTCTTTTAAAAAAACAACCACCCTTTTTTCCTCCTTCCAGGGCTTCGCATGACTCATCTCTTTCCAAATTAGGTAAAAAAGTTAAAAAAAATCTTTTCTTTAATGGGTATTATGAGTACTTCTATGATGAACATAACTTACTGGATTTGAACCATGTCTAGATAATTTCTTTTTTTAGAGAGAAAATTTGGGTTTTGGTATTTGTCAACATGTGAATTTAGTTGTGCATGAATTTTTTAGATTTGGGTATTTTTCTTGTTTGCATTGACTTTGCCAATTTTTTAAATAAAATATCTGTGTTCTGTTTGGTTCTTGAGACTTTTTTTTTGGGAGGGGGGGGGATTCTTTTTTTTTTTTTTATGTGAATCTGGGTTGATTTAATCTGCTTGTTGGTGAATTTATGAATGATTTTGTCTATTAAAGGTTGACTTCACATTGAGAAAGCCCTTTCTTTTTCTGACACTTGTTGTAAGCGATGGAATGTGGGTTCGTTTCGTTATTTTTGGTATGACATTTCTTGTGATATTTTAGGCTGGAGATGCTACTTTCATTGAGTTCATTGCATATCTGGTTGTCCATTATGTTACAAAAGAGATTATATTATTTTAAGTCCTATTTTTAGGAAATGCGGATGTTGATGGTGTGTTTTGGACATGTTGGTATTTGGGTGTAGGAGCATGCAAAGCTACTCAAGTTGTTGATCTCTTTCCAACTGTGTCTCCTGAGATTTTTGTTCGGGAGGCACGGTTAGAGGATTGTTGGGAAGTGGCTGAGACTCACTGTAGCTCATTCTTTCCTGAATATTCGTTCCCTTTGGATTTTGTACTGCGAGTTGACAGATTGGTGGCAATGCTGTCAGGAATCTCTGCTCCACGTGGTTGCAGGAGAACTTGTTTGGTTGCTGTAATTGGTGGTTCAGTTGATGATACATTGTTATTTGGAAGTGATGATTTCGAAATTGGAGGTTTTGATGGGAAATTTAGTCTTAATAGAGGTTATGTGACTGGTATTTTAACTGTGGATACTGTTGCTGATTTTCTTCCTAGAAAAGGACCACTCCGCCAGAGAAGGTGAGTTAAATTGTTCCAAGATATTTATACTAGTTAAATGTCATTTAAAGACGCAACATATTAGTTGCTACTTACCCTGGAAGGAACTTGTTTTATCAACTGTTAAATACTTATTCTGCGAGATGAATGTGTTCGAAAATTTTGTTTTATGGTTGCAAAATTGTTGGTCATCAAATTTACCCCAGCTTTACCTTTCATTAATTACATATTATATGTTACTCCTTTCATGTTATCAGTAAATATTTTACATGCTCTATGTCTTGGGAAGCTGTTGATAATTCCAAAAAGTCGTTGTGTTTATCAGTATTTGTGGGTTAAGAAGTATACAACCTCATAATTTTCACTTTTTTTTTTTTGCATGTGAGTCGAAGCCTTCCTTGCCTTATAGTACCTCCATTTTTGTGTGATGCTTGCTGCATGTTATGTTACTTTAACTAGTTTCGTTTTTCAAATTTGAAAACTATGTTAGTTGAGTAAGGTATTAGCTGGATTGCTCAACCTTCTCGTATAGTTTGCCTTTGCAAGTTTACAGCTGTTTGTTTCAATGAAGCTTTCTGCTCTTCAAATTGAGATGTGTATACCTAATCAATGCATTTTTTATGGGGCTTGAATATTATAAAGCTTTAATGCATCATAAATTTAAAATAGAAGATGGGAGTGTACTAATTAATTTCACCTGCTCTAGGCTTAATGTGATAAACCAAATAGAAAAACTTAAAAATTGGTGCATCTATCTTTTGCTGGTTCATCTCCAAGTGGATCATCTGGATATTTGTGGCTTTGATACCAGTAGTTCTCTGTATGCGTGTAATGAGAAACATGGCTAACTTGGAACTCAGAGCTGGAAAAATCCTTTGCCTAGAGAGTTACTGGTTGTCTTTATTTCTTCCAAGTCATATGGTGATCCATCCTTTCATCTCAATGCTAAAGCTGCCAAAGCAGATTGTTGTCAGAAACCCTTTCCAAAGCCATTGGCAAAAAATGAAAATCCCTTACAAAGCCATTCTTTTATGAAAGTGAAGAACTGTTTGTTTTTAGAGGCCTAGAGAAGTTAAGGCTTATAGCTGATTAAGGTTGAGTAGTTGTGATGCCTATGTGCTAGTTAACTTGAAAATAACTATTCTGAGACTGTATAATTGGATTTCAAGAATAGTAACAGACAATTTTCTTCCCCCTTTGTTTGATCAATAAAACCCAGAACCTAGCCTCCATAAAATGCCAAGAAAGGAAAAAGATAAAAGACGTTGAAAAAACAAAAGAGGTTTTCTCCTTTACTATCCCTTCTTTTTGTTCTGATTTTTCTTTTTCAATCCGTAAGCAACTATATGTGGTCTTGCATCTTACAGTTATATCTCAACTCATTCAAGATTTTGTAACAGAAGTGAGTTTGAGTGAAACAAAATCCTATCAGATGCTGTATATGTAGCAAAGTTTCCATATTATAATTCCACATAACTTATGTTGCCTTGGATTGATAGATGTTCAATAATTAGAATGATAATGTTGAAATCAATAACTGGCAGAACAGTTATATGCTACTGTGAGATGTTGATGCATGGAAAAACCTTCAGGGTAAGAGAAGCTCACTTAAAACTCTTGGTCCTTTAATGTTATTTAAGTGAAGTACTCAGATCTTCTGGCTAGGAGAGAATACCAGGCAAATGATTGCGGGAAGGATGAAAGAGGGAGTGTGAGGTTGTCACTTGTGAGGAAAAGCTGAGAAGGTGTGAAACCCTACAATGAGAAAAATAATGATTACAATAGAGAATGGTGGAAGATGATATTCATTGTCATGGCACAGTTGTTTCACTCAAGGCTTTTGAGTTACTTTTTTCTTCAGCCTGTGGAAGATCCTGCTAGGTATCTTGAAAATGACTGCCATCAGCAAGCTATCGGAGATTGATTTGAGTTAAAGGCATAGCTGTTCTCTCATCCCAAATTGTTAAAGATTTTAGGAGTGGAAAATTCTGTTCAAGTTCCATAGATGGTAGAATTCCAGTAGGAACCGGTTGTGGTAGACTGGATCTGCTGGAAGTGTTAAGAATTATGTAACAGTGTTTGTCAAGTATGGTTCTTATTTTGAAATTAACCCTTTACTAACAGAATATTGTAACTGCATTGATTCTATTCATTTTTGATAAGATGGTCAGGGGCATCCCCGAACTTTGTTTGGGCCTAATCCCCTCCCGGGACGATCTTAAGTGCATCCGGCCTAGTACATTCAAGATTTTACTCTTGGAATACTCCCCACAAGGGTTGAACCTTGGTTGAAAAGAAAGGGACTTCTCCCTTACCAACTGGACTAACTCCTGTGGGATTTAACCGCATTAGTTAGTAGTTTTTTGAAATGAAAAACGTCCATCATTCCTTTCTTATACAACATTTTTTTCATTTTTCTGGAATCTTTTAACATGCATTGTATTCAGCTTCTGATGAAACTAGTAAATACTCTTATCATACAAATGACACTTGGGCATCTTTATCACAGGACTGGAATTGCATACATATCAAATGTTGCAGTTCGAGAGAGATATCGTCGGAAGGGAATAGCTAAAAGGCTCATAGCCAAGGCAGAAGCTCAAGCGAGGAGATGGGGCTGCCGTGCCATTGCTTTGCACTGTGATTTGAACAACCCTGGGGCCACAAAACTGTATAAAGGCCAGGGTTTCCGAATCATTAAGGTGCCAGAGGGAGCAAACTGGCCACAGCCCAATACCTCGCCAGATGTTAGGTTCAACTTCATGATGAAGCTTTTAAACACCCCTACCACCGCATAAATTCTTCACAAAAAAAAAAAAAAAAAGATAATTAAAGATTCAAATATGTAGGATGTCTGGAATTAGTTGTATATAAGTTACACTGATGGGTTCAGCTTCAGATATTTGGTGCTACTGTGTTTATTGTTTCTGCAATGTTAATGTTACAAATCTTTTGTCTGTATGTTTATGGACACTTTTCTCATTATATAAAAATTCTCTTTTTCCATGCAATCAGGAATATCCAAATTCCAAATCAATTCTAACATTAAAAAAATACGTCCCCTTTTTATTCTGTATTATGCAAAACTTTTGACAATTACCCTCCCATTCCTTAAGATAATTAATGGGAAAATGTATGAAATTGCAAATAAAAAAATAAATGGATAATAGCATAATTATTAAGTTTTAAAAAGCTCAAATCAAACTCCAATTAATAATTTTTACCAAAATAAAAGCCTCCAATTTACTATATTTTACTTCACAAACCTTAATTTATATTAAAAATAAACGAAACTTACTTCTATAATAAGATTTTGGGGAAAAACGAAGGAAGGATAAATGAGTAAAATCAAGCATAAAAACCCCCGAATAAAACGACATCGGTTCCACACACAAAAGTCAATATTAGTCAAAGGGTAATGGTCGGCTTAAGTTGTTAGGAATCCCATAAAAAAGTCCACCCCGCTCTTCAATTCTCTTATTTTTGAGGATTAGCGAATTTGGGAATTAGGGTTTTCTCTGAAATTTTAGAAAACCAGAAAAAATCGAAGATGATCGAGGTGGTGTTGAATGATCGACTAGGGAAGAAGGTGCGCGTGAAGTGCAACGAAGATGACACGATCGGAGACCTGAAGAAGCTGGTGGCGGCACAAACCGGTACCCGAGCCGACAAGATCCGGATCCAGAAGTGGTATACGGTTTATAAGGATCATATTACCCTCAAAGATTACGAGATCCACGACGGCTTGGGTCTCGAACTTTACTATAATTAAAATTTTATAATTATTAGTATTTTATCTATGTTATTCTTGAATGATTTTTGTCTGAACAAGGTTTAGTTTTATGTGTGGATGTATGATAATTGTGGATGATGGTTCTTCCCCATGTCTCAAGTTTGATAAGAGTTTATATAATCAAAGCTTTGAATATTTTCTACTGTTTGATTAACCGCCCTTTTCTCTGTCAAAGCTTCAACCAGCATAAGATAAAAAAATTCGGTTCTTTCTTGTTGCTGCACATCGACCATGCTACTGTCTTGATCCCATATGGCCTCCTCCCTAAGTTTTCCCCATAGGTTTCCAGGATATGACTTGATAGGTTGCTTTGTTAATATTTGAGATTCGAACTTGCTCATTGATATAATGATTTTAAGGCAAAAGTAGCAATTTCTGCTGATAAGTATCGTGTCATTCCTACTACACTAGAATGCCCATTCTACAGAGAAAATTCTTTCAACATCTCCTGCCTCACCTAGATGGTGCACTCGATAGGCCAGTCTAGTTGCCTGTAAGATACTCTGGAAACTTTGCTTTCCTTCATGCGTCTTTTGCCCATAAACAGTCTCTCAAACATGTATAGTAACAATCTAGGCCTGACATTAATGATGCGTGGGTTGAGGTTCAAGGTTATCTCCTCATCCCTCGAAATTAAATGTTTTCTCAATCGCAAATCCGCATCTTTCTTGTCACATATTCTACACATCAGGTTAGCTGGCACACCTCATAATCTTGAACTCATGGCTGTTAATCTTGTTTGACAGAATGGCACTTCATATCATTTACGGCATAATTATTTCTGAGCATCCTCGTCACTTGAAGAAGCACCATTGTCATCTGAAACATCAACTTTACTACCCTTTGGTATGCTTTGCGCATTCATAAAGACGTTAGATGGCCCTTTTAATTTGGTATTTAAAAACAACAAATAACAAACTAAACATTATATCTCATAATTCTAGAGTAGGCTATATAAAAGACCAAAAAAAGGAATCATGTTAGTTCGGAGTTTTGAATCTTCTTGCTTTCATCTACTTTTTTAATCCCATATAAATTTTTAATACTTGCATCCACGTCTTTCATGGTTCATCTCAAGAAGTTTTGTTGTCTCTCAAATTCAAAACTCATTTTTCTTAATCAGTGCACAGATAAATTTACATTTCATATGTCAAACTATCTCAAATAGTACGTTCTCATCTTTTCTTCAATTTGAATTCAACCTAATTTTTCTCGAATCTTTTCATTTTGATTTGTATCTTCTAATTTTATAACACATCTATCTAAGTATTCTCATCTTAGTTACACTTATTTCCTTCCCATATTGTCTTGTTAATAGTCTAACAGTTAGTCTCATATAACAATGCAGGTCTTATAGATGTTTTATATAACTTTACCTTTAACTTTAAAGGTATATTGCAATCACATAAAACACTTGATGCATTTCGTCGCTTGATCTATCCTACTTGAATCTTATGATTTATATCCCTTTCTATCTTAACGTCGCCTTGAATAACTGATCTCCAAATACCAAAAATGATTATTCTTTGGTATCACCTTATCATCCAACTTAATCACATTAGCACTCACTTTCCTATAACTACTAAACTTACATTCCATATATTTAGTTTTATGTATACTCAATTTAAAATTTCAAGACTCCAACATATGCCTTCTAAATTTTAATTTCGTATTAAGATCATCACTAGTTTCAGCAACTAAGACTATATTATTGGCAAATAACATATATCATGGCACATTGTCTTAAATATATCTAGCAAACTCATTTATAACTAATATAAAAAGAAATTAACTTAGCGCTGAGTCTTGATGCAATCTTAAGGTAATGAGAAAACTATCAATCAAGCCCTTAAATGTTTTCATATTTGTTATAACTCTATCATACATTTCTTTAACTATATTAATATACTTTAAAGGAGCATTTAGTTCACAGATTTTTAGATTCCGAAGGAAAATATGATCTCTAGAAAAGTGTTATACCAATGAAAATAGTTATTTTTAGGGCATTCGGTTTTTAGAATTTTTTGTTTGGTTGGGAAGAATTTGCGTTTACTAAATCATGTATTTTTACCATAATATTATTGACAATCTTGGAAAAAAAACCTTTGATTTTGATTTAAAAAAAAAAACACAACAAATAATGCCTTTATCATCAATCGAACGAAAAATTTTATATTTTTTTATAAAATTAAAATTGTACCAAATTATAAGAATACCACAAATATGGCTTGCATATAAAAATTAAAAATATTCAATTATGGCGTTTAAATAAAAAAAATGTCGTAATTGACTTGGATTTAAGAATTGAAATTAGTCAATTGTGGTGTTTGGTTAAAAGAAACGTCATAATTGCTTGCATTTAAAATTTTAAAAAAATCAATTATAGCGTTTAAATGAAAGAAATGTTGTAATTGCTTGGATTTAAGAATTGAAAATACTTAATTATAGCATTTGGTTTAAAGAAACGATGTAATTGTTTGCATTTAGAAATTGAATATATTCAATTACGACATTTAGTTAAAAAAAAAAGTTGTAATTGCTTGCTTTTCAAAATTTTAAAATACTCAATTATGACATTTCGTTTAAACAATTAACGTAATTGAGTGTTTTAAATAACATAAACCCTTTCACTTTCCATTATGTTTTTAGACACCTAAATGGCTAAAACCCTAAAACCAATAAACGAAGTGCTTGAACCATAATAATATATAATCATATCATCCGACTGCCTTCATTGCTTCATCTTTCTTGTCGTTAAAAGCCTTAACTGTCACCACTGTTGCACATTGTCTAACTTTGATAAGTGGTTTTTTTATTTTTTTTTTATTTTTCACTTTTATTCGTGGTTGGATCCTTTATATTTTTTTCCTTTTATATTTAGTTTGTTTTTAGTATGGTTTGAGTTTTATGATTTGCCAAATGGTGGATTGGAAAATGGGTGTTTAAAGAGTGTGATTTGCGTACTGCTAATTATTGTGTGGATTTGTAAAGAGAGTTTGGTTGAAAGCACCATAGTCTAGTGGAATCATCTTTTTTTTTTTCCTTTTGTATTGCATGGACTTTTATTATACGAGAAATAGAGATTCATAAACTATTTTTTAAGACAAGTAATTATGCATCAATAGTAATTGGTTGAAATGATTATTTATGAATGCAATATCGTAAGTTTTTGTTATATTATAATTGGTCGAAACATTTAAATCCTTTGCACAAGAGGAACCTTTGTATCATATTATATTTTATTGCCAATAGTTCAATAATAGACATTGACATTGCTCAATAAATCATTCTCAGCAAGAAATGTGAATTATTATGTTGATTTTTTGGCAAATTGGGAACATATTGCACGTACTTACCAGAGTACTCTTGACATGTATTCTCAACATATTGACATTATTGCACATCTATTCTCAACATGAAATTTTTTTTGTTTCATGGATATATATTTTGCATGTAAAATATTTTTGTTGATTTGATTTATTTGTTACATCTAATACAATTATGATCAAAATCACAAGATAGTATGGTTTCAGAAGAACATATATCTCCCTTTATTGAACATGAACAAAAAGAAGTCTCAATTGACACACCCATCGTGAAAAAAAATCTATGGGACATGAGAAATCATTTAAAACTATTAAAAAAATTCATGTTAAGTTCAATCAAGATGGGCAACCTGTGTTAAATGGAGGTGCAAAGTGGGCTTGCTATATTAGAGTTGTCATTCCGACAGACTATATCCATTAATTACTCTAGTTGAAGGAAAATTCCAGATGATAAGAATGACAATATATGGAACTCAGTTGTAGTAAGTTTTTTCAATGAAATCCAAAGTAATTCATCTTTATTGTTCATTATTTATAGAACGCAAATACGATGTTGACTTAATATAATTTAATCATTTTTATAAGAACTGTTCGACGTTTCATATAAGTATAAGAAGTTTGTATTACAATCTACTGGGATTAAATACAAAAACTTTAATAGCAGATTAATAACCAAATATATTTTACCATTCACTGACAATTTTGAATTGTTGTTTCATCCTTCAACAACATATTTAGATGCTATCAGTGAAGCAAAATGATCGCAGTTTGTTCAAGATCATCTATCAGCTAAATTCTCCATATTTATACAAATTTTTTTTATTTTTATAATTTGTTGATCAATCTAATTGTATGTTAATATGTCATTGATTTCATTTTTTTACAAAAAATTAAAGAACAACAAAAGAACATACGAGCCTAACAAGTGTATCACCATCGAACATCGAAAAAGGGTTATGCAAATGTGAAACATGATCTTATAAGTATTCAAATGCTATTATTATACTCAAGGATGAAGATTATGAACTTCATTTAATGAAAATTAGAAACTTATATTGATTTATGGTTTTAGGAAACATCTAACTCAAATACTAAAACATCGTAGGACAAAAGGCTTAGAAGATTATAGGTTTATTTCATTTTTATTTCACTATGCTAAATGTGCTTTTACGTATGAATAAATATTGTATTTAGTTACTCACCATCATGTTGTGTCTTAGGATAAATTTGTTATGAGATATGAATTTGATGAGCCACGAACTAGTTATGGCAAAAATCTTTTGCCTTTAACTTTAAGATTAAAAGAGACCTAGTTATGTTCAGAGGGTTAAGAGATTTGTCTCTTCATCACAGTGCTTTAAGAATCAACCGAAATCTCGCTCAATTAAAAATGTCGAACATAAATCCATAATAGAGCAACAACAACGACTTGCAGCATTGAAGGTAATATTGGCAGCAATGCAACATAATATGGCTCAGGATTAGTCTTTTATTGACATCCAGCTTGAAAATAAATTTGCAAATCAAGTCTTACATCATACCCCTTCTTCAATAATCATCATTCTAGTTATTGAAAGTGAAATTGAGTTATTTTTAAATTTAATTTATGTTTTTTAAAATTGTTAAAAAGAATGATAATTTATATTTGTTTGTAACAGTATGTTCAACCTCATATCACACACTTACGTAATTGCCATGAATGTGCTATCCACTTATATGAGTCAGTGTTTATTAGGAGGAGATTGCATAACCATGGACATTAAGCATGGATTATTTGATTATCCCTCGACTATGTTCATAGAGCAGTTA